AACAAAAAAGAAAACTAGAGAATAATAAGGCCTCACTTGATATTTAAGTTTCACTTTTGAAACCAGTTTCCTTTCTCCCAGGATTCAATAACAAGTGTCTCTATTTTATAAAAGTAGTCTGGAATCAGAAAGACACCACCAAAAGTGTGGTCTATCATGTATTAATGCATTATAGGGAGAGAAATGTAGACATCAAGAGCCTCAGACATACAAAGGTAATCTCAATTGGATCCATCATGGTGGAAATATTAATGAACATTATATTAACTCGGCTCTCGCTGTTTTATGAAAGTCAACACCTCATGAACCAGTTTATATATCTTTCTAATAGGAATCTGTACATCTGCTTTGTCGACCTCAGAGCAGCATATGACCACATCAATTTCACTTCTTTAGAATCCACCTTCTAAGATCCGAATCTACTGAATGCATCGATCTAATAGAGGAACTGTATCGATCTACAGAATCTTACATGTATGACAAGGACCCCAATACTAAAACATTTCAGACCTCATCAAGAGTACGACAAGGAGGAAACGAGAGACCCAGTTTTTTTTATTTCTTTCTGGTCTATGCCCTGCGGAATCACAAACACTCATGTGGTGAGATTGGCACTGACTATTTAAGCATTCCATACCACACCCCAAACGAGTGATAAAGCCATTTCCGATCTTACGTCTCTGGTTGGGATCCAGAAAGAAATGTGGATACAATTCCAAGGGAAACAAATAATAATAATAATAATAATAATAATAATAATATTGTGTTAGCCCAAAATGCAGATTCTGTGATAAATATCCAGAAAAAAATTGATCATCTTGTATCAGGTTGCACAATATTGGCCCCCACTGAGTATAAAAACCGGCATAACAGAGTGGGCCAATATCTGCACTGGAAAATTTGCAACTTCTACGGGAAGGAAACTGAAAGAAACTGGTATGAACGCCACCCAGACCCGGTTACGGTGATAGGACCTGTTACAAATCTATGGGACTACACAATACACACTTCAAAATACAATTCAAAAAGCTGTCAAAATACAAGGACCTTGAAATCGAAATCTCAAAAATGTGGCACATCGGAACATCAACAATCCCTGTTGTAGTTGGAGCCATAGGATTGGTTGGAAAAGATTCCAATAGACTCATTGAAGGAATCCCATGTCTTGATGAAATACAAAAAATTGTTCTCACAAGTAGAGCCCACACCATAAGAAGGGCGTTATCTATGTAAATTATGTGTGATTTTTTTCAAACCTGTTCAGTGAAAAATGTCAGGATGTCATTTCTAACCTTAAGTCTTTGGTCGGGATCCGGTAAGAAATAAGTATACACCAGAAATCAAAGGAAATAAATGAATAATGATGTATTTGTTACCGAGCTTAAAACTAATCAACTGGTAATCATTACAAAGCGATTGTATGATTTTCATTTGATTTAATGTTTTGTTGTTGTTGTTTAACAGCATATCAGAACTTCTAATCGTTATTTAATGTCGAAATCTAAATATGAAAATTCAATCTTCATAATTAATTCAAGAGGATGACATTATTTCATGATTAAATTATAATTACGTAGCTGCATTTTTTTTTTACCAAATAATCGTCCAAAATCAAACCAGGAATTAAAATTTGTTTCTTCTTATAAGAAATGAGATTAATCATAGTAAATTGTTTTTTTTATTCCTTTTTTCTTTTTTTGACGATGTATGCCAACGTCTACAATTCTATAATAAAACTAGCAGTCATACTCATCTGGTCGATCGGAAAAAGCGTTCAATTAGAATGGAGCAAAAACAAAATTATCTTTAATTACTTTAAAGTACTTGCATTAAGAACATTTTGAATTAATGCAGTTACTGATATAACAGAAGTAGTCTATATTTATTCATTAGAAGTTAGCCAAGGACATGAAGGGGTACAACAGGCAACATGAAGACCCACTTTAGACCATTAGTTTGGAGTTTTTGAAATTCATTTTGTCAGTGTGCAACCAGGGATGTAAAAGAGGATACATTTATAAAGTAATTGTTAAGTTTGATTAAAATTGGTTGAAAGATCAACGAAAAAAAATAAGAAAAAATAAACAAGTAAAAATCGACATTGGCCACTATTTACACGTGTTTTCCCTATATGGGTAGACTCAATTATCAAGTTAAATGACTGTTAAACAATCAACTTATTGTCTTCGATTGCTTTAGTTTAAAATTTGTGTTGAAATCGATTTTTCGTTTTTCGCTGTTTTCCACTAAACACAGTGACGTATAAATAAAATTGTGGTAACGTTGAGCTCGTCATGATGTAAGTAACCTATATACCGAGTTTGAACGAAATCGGAGGAAAAAAGTTGAATTTATCTATTTTGATCTGCTTTATTGATTATTGATTTTTAAAAAAAATATCGATTTCTTACGCTAATAACCTATCTCTTACATTGTACAATGTATGTGCCAAGTTTGGTTTTTACAGAAAGATACGGGGAATAGAATGGACGGAAGATGTGAACAACGAGGCAATTTTACGGAAATTGGGAATTAAAGGGACGTTTATACTTAGAACTTAAAAGAAGAAACATTTTAAATTTGTAGGACATATGAGGAAGAGGACTTGAAGAATTTGACCCTCACAGGATTTGGTTTATTAAAGGCTAGAGAGGCAGAAGAAAGCAACAATCTACAGAATTAACTTGTCTAAATGAACGACAGAATAAGGAAAAGACAAACGTTGCACATACCTACAAATAATAGGAAGTTGTGAAGAACCATGACTGACAACTTTCTGAAGTGATACGACACTTAAAAGAAAATGTTGAAAATAGTTTAATATCAAGTTTGAAAAATAGTTGAACATAAAATTGTTTCTGCTAGGTTAGTTTCTCACAACACCGCAAGTTGGTACAAAACCAAAATATTCACTTAAAAACTAGAGTTATGTTCTGACCGAAGCTTTCACGTGGATGTCATGCATGACACCAGACATATATATCTAAACTACTGACTATATACTACGAATTCCTCAGGTTGATTGTTAATAATGGCTATGATTTAATGAAACCTATAGATCTTCATGAAGACAATCTTTTCTTGAACCTTGTGAAATGACGCTAGAGAATTACAAAGAACTGTACGAGATAACATAATTTGCATCAATTGAGGACTTTCAACAGTAACAACAACTAAAAAGGATAGCATATGTAACTCTAAGTTAGAATCATGATGTTGACGTTCCATACTACCCTAAACAATAGACAGGGATGGAAATCCCAATCAATAATGGAGAGAGCATTAACTTCTACTGAACTCGAGAAACCTTTTCTCATGAAAAATACTTTCAGGAGAAAAACTTTATAAATTTCAACTGACAACACTAATTGTTCGATCAATGAATGCTAAATGGTTCCTTATAAGGAAACGATTAATGTTACTCTTACTATTTCCATTTATAATGAACGAGCTGAGACCTTTTTTATTAGTCCTCGGTGTGTTTAAACAGATTGTCACAGTATTTTCACGCCTTGCTGTATTGCTAATTTATCGCTTCACATTTTATTCGTCCTATGTTTGTTTTCATCGTGACAGTAATACCCCCATGAGTTGTCTTAAGAATCAGATTTTATTTTAATGCTTATCCAAACTTGTCATCTGCATAAATACCCTTATCTTCATTAATACCAGTATTTCTAATTATATGTGGTGCAACAATCTGACATCTCAGGTTCTAGGAAGGAATCGAAACAAAATGACATCATTTTAATCTTTTTTCTACTTTTATGCCATCTTTTTTATTTATTTTGATATTTCTGCCTCTTCGTTTCGTTGTTTTTTTTTTTTCTTTTGTTTTGGTCAATTCTGTCTAGACTATCAGCTATCTGTAACAGTTTTCTCAGATCAATGACAAAATATGGCCTCAAGAGAATAAAAACTGTAGACCTCAAAGAAGGATATCCTACATCAGATCATATAGACTGGCGCTACAGAACCACAAAGAACAGTACCTAATTCACAGAAACCACGACTTCCAACAGCAGCAACAACTAAAATGGACAGCACGTGTAACTCGAAGTGAGAATAAAGACAAAATCAAAATGTTGACGTCTAACACTAATTTAACAACAGGTTAAGAAAGAAATTCCTATCAATACTAAAAAGGGCGATAAGAGTTTAATGAACTTGAGAAAATTATTTTCGTTTTAAGAGAATTATTTTATAAGTTTGAACTAACAGAAACACTGGTTTCTCGGTTAATAAAGGCCGAATGTTCCATTACAAGAAAACGTTTAATGTCATTAGTATCATCATTTTCTTTCTTTCTTTCTTTCTTTCTTTCCTTCATTCCTTCCTTCCTTCCATCCTTCTTTCTTTCTTTCTTTCTTTTTCCTTTACTCTTTACTTCTTTTTTCTTTCTCTCCTTCCTTATATCTTTCTTTCCTTCCCGCTTCCATCCTTTCTTTCTTTCCTTCCTTCCTACTTTCTTTACTGTTTCCTTCTTTTTTCTTTCTCTCTTTCCTTATATCTTTCTTTCCTTCCTGCTTCTTTCCTTCCTGCTTCTTTCCTTCCTTTCTTTCCTTTCTTCCTTCCATCTTTTCTTTCTTCCTTTCTTCCTTCCTTCCTTCCTCCCTTCCTTCCTTTACTCTTTCCTTCTTTTTTCTTTCTCTCCTTCCTTATCTCTTTCTTTCCTTCCCCTTTCTTTCTTTCTTTACTTTAAATTTCTATTATTGACACTCGGAAAATTGTCCTCATTTTTGTTGTAATTATTATGACGTTTCGGTTGCTGTATCCTCCGGTTTTCATCAGGTATCTTTTACAAACAATTTCGAACTGAACCCTTTATTCAATTCACGGGTGTAAATTGTTCTCGTTCTGCTTCCATCATCCAAGGATTTCTTGTCGTTGTTCTTATTTTGTACATCTCAGATATTGCCCACACTGATTCCACTGGTTCTAAGTCAGATCTCACAATTACTCTCAAAAAATTAATGGACCAAAGCCTGGAATCTATTAGAATGGTGAACTTGAATCGTTTAAATTCATGCGCCTACTGCTCAGGCTTCTGTATCTTTCCTTTTTTTTTTTTTCTTCTTTTCTTTTCTTTTTCTTTATTTATTATTTTTATTCATTTTCTTTTTTCTCCTTTTTTCTCCTTTTTTCCTTTTTCTTCTTTATCTTTTTTCTGCTTTTTTCTTCTTTTCTACTTTTTCTTCTTTTTCTTTTTCTTCTTTTTTCTTTTTTCTCCTTTTTTCTTCTTTTTATTTTCTCCTTTTTCATTTTTCTTCTTTATCTTTTTCTTCTTATTTCTTCTTTTCTACTTTATCTTCTTTTTTCTTCTTTTTCTTTTTTCTCCGTTTTTCTTCTTCTTTTTCTCTTTTTTTCTCCTTTTTTCTTCTTTTGTTTTTTTTTGCTTTTTCTTCTTTTCTACTTTTTTCTTATTTTTTCTTCTTTCTCTCCTTTTTTCTTTTACTTTTTTCTTTTTTTCTTTTACTTCTTTTTCATTTTTCTTCTTTTTTGCTAGTTTCTCTTACTTTCTCTCTGTTTTTTTTCTTTTATTCGATCTCTTCTATTTCTTATTTTATTTTAATAATTTTACCCCAAGGCGATAATGCCACTGAGATCTCACAGGTTTACTAAGAATTTTCCTTGCTTATATAGTTGATCATCGGCCCCGAAAGAACTGCGCGGGAAGAATCACTGTTCACGTGCAGACAATCTGATTGGTTGGCATTAACCAATCAGCGAGCGAGCTTTGGGGAGACTCATGAAAAGCTTCTGCGATCCTATTCTCCCAAAAGTGAACGAAATCGACTACATGAAAATATAGCGATTATAAAATTGTCGCATTACACAGTAGTGTTGATTTATTATCCAATAAATGCTTGTGGTTGTATAATTTGAATTTGTGTAAGTATGTATGTATGTGTGTGATGATGATGATCGTCACACTTTCTAAGAATTACCTTATATTTTGTGAAATGTAAATAAATAATTCTTTCTTTTGTTGTTTATGAATGGAGTGATAAAGAGAAAAAAGAGAACGAACAGAAAATAAAGACTCTCCATCTTTCTCCAACGGACCGCCTACAACTGTGTTTATCAAAATGCCACTTGACGTCTGGGAAACAGCAAAAGATAGAGGAAGAATTGGCATTTATAAATTTATAATTATGGCGTTTATAAATGAATTGATTATCATTTTAGCGGAAATGACGTCAGTCGCTACGCAACCATTTTTTTGGTCTCCATGCACACAAGAAACTGTCAGTATGATTATTATTGTTATATTTTTCCCCTCGCCTTTTACGAAGTTTATCTTTGTTTTCCTTTCAGAAAGATGTCACCTGGGATTCTTCTTCTTTTCGATTGTATTCTTAAACCTCCACGGAATAACACTGTTCTTTAGAACACTAGATTCTTCTATTTTGTTCTTGTTATTATTCTTTTCGATCAAGGTTGATAATAGCAGTAATACATTATGAAATGGACAAAGTCCGACAATTATTTTAAGACATTTTTTTTATGCTTATATGTTCTTTTTATAGATATAAATATTTAAGTAAATTCTCTGTTTAATACTTAAATATTTATATCTATAAAAAGAACGTATAAACATAAAAAAATGTCTTAAAATAATCGTCGAACTTTGTCCATTTCATAATGTGTGACGTCATTTGTTTACATTTGGATACGCATCGAGCAGATATGGATGTACGAGAAACAATCATGGAGAATTGTAGTTTAAAAAGATTAAAATCGACCATGCTAGCTAAAGCAATCCTCTGTGGCTCAATCGGTAAAAGCACGTCAGGCTATATGACGGTTCCGTATAGGATACAGGTTCGATTCCTATGAGAATTTCTCAGGCATTCAGGCCGGTAAATGTCGTTAATACTGTTTATTAAAAACAGAGCAGTTACTTAAATATTTGTATCTATAAAAAGTAGGTATAAACATAAAAATGTCTTAAAATAATAGTAATATATTTTGCTTTCATTGTTTGTGTAGAAAAGATAGGAGAGATTGGATTGCTTAACTACATATTTATCCAATCCGTTTTCTATCTCTTCCTTCTTTTTTTGTCATTTTATGGCATTATTTTATTATAAAATCACCTGATGAGTGAATAGAAATCCCTCGGAAATCCTTGTTGAGAAGAAAAGCTGAACATTGACAGTAGTATTTACTCCTGTCTCAATAGTAAATCCGGCTTTGCTGACAGTTAACCTGGCCAATCTGTGGCTTACTCTGGCAGGAAATGGCTTGTAAACTTTAATGCCTCCACATTGAAACTGCTCTCATTTACCTACTACAGAGAAAACTCACAGCCTCCTATCAGCATGGCTGATGCTCAACTTTAGGAGAGTGTCTATCTGCGCCTTTTAGGTCTCCATGTATTCCACTGACCTGAGGTGGAACAACTACATCGGATCAACAGATTCATCTACCGCAATGAAAGTTGGTTCTCTATGTCGCGCCAGAATGTTTTTCTCGTCTGAGTCCATTCTTCAAATATACCATTCGTCCATGCATTGAATATTGTTGCCATATATATATATATTCTGGTGCAGCCCCTGTTCATCTTGAGTTTCTCGACAAAATCCAGAGAAGATATGCAATCTGATAGGTCCTGATCTGGCATCTCCTCTATAGTCTCTTTCTCACAGACGTGTGTCATTTCTACAAATATTTTCATGGCAACTGCTCTGACGTGCTACTTTCACTGTTACCCCAAATGCATGAATTATTGATTGGGATTTCCATCCCTGTCTTTTGTTTAGGGTAGTATGGAACGTCAACATCATGATTCTAACTTAGAGTTACATATGCTTCCCTGATAGCTATAATCTTCAAATATTCAAATGTAATGTCAATCGACATCTTCTGATGCCTTGATCTTGTTCCCCATCCTTCTCTGTATCATTTCCTCAAACACGCCTCTTTACTCTTTTTCTCAATCCTCTGTAACCCCTTACGTGCGTGTGGCACTCCCGCCTTACTTAACGTGAAATGCTTAAACAATTATTTTTGTTTGTTGTTATTAACGTTCAATCTCTTAAACGTTTAGCTCCCAAAGTCTACCTTAATTCCTCATGTATAATATGCATTTTTTTAAAGAATAATAAGCAAATTCAGGGGTGCGTAATATGCACAGCTATAAAAAATCTTTAAAAAAATTGTCGTAAAATAAAATAAGAATTATCATAAAACTAAATATTATTCTATGATTAAAACCATTTTTTTAAAAAATAAGAGCAGAAAACGTTGGCCGTAAAGAAATTGGAGAGGTAGAATTTATAGAGTTTGATTACCAAACAAGGAGTCCGTATTATGCGTGAGTAGAAACCTTTTCCCACACTTTCAGCACAATTTTACGTGTGCCTATTATAGATGAAGGCTTATTATACATAGGGAATTACGGAATTTGTTTGAAAAGAGTTCTCCTCTAGAAATACACCGGTCAGCTAGTTTTATTTTATCTTATTTATTTGTTTTATTTATTTTGCGAAATACCGTCTTTTTTATTATTATTATTATTATTATTATTATTATTATTATTATTATTATTATTATTATTATCGGGAAATGTATATTAGAAACGAAATCGATCCTCGCAGAACTCAAAACAAGAAAATTATAATTAATCTTAAAAGTAAAGCAGGTGTCGTCTGCTTTTGAAATTAGTAGAAAACAAACGATTATTTTATCTTCACAAGCAGTTCAATCGATGTTTTCTTTTATTTAAGAGTGTACACAAAAATCAGTTTTTGCTTGATAGATATAATATTTGATATAACGCATTTTGACCTTTCGACCTTATTCGCTTTCTTACGGATGTCGCGTGGCTTCCCTCTGTCTTTTTTTACAAATATTTTCATGGCAACTGCTCTGACGAGTATTCCCCCCACCCCGACAACCTATCCCGAAATTAGGTTAGTGTAGGTTTTGTTTTTTGATCTTTAGTTTTTTTTTTCCAGTTAATATAGCTAGGGTGTGTCTGCTCATTGACCCCTTTTATCTCTGTCCCTATTTTTTGTTTAGTTTAATTCCCCAACCCCTTTCTCGTTAGGTGGTCAGTGATGTTAGTTCTCTGGTGGATGCGGGGCGATTTTCGTTTCTTTTCGCCTGTGTGTTTTTCGTTTTCTGCTGTCGTGTTTGGATGAGTGCGTGTCTGTGTGAGTGCTAGGGATGAATGAATGTTTTTTATAATTCTATAGGCCCACATTGATTTCGTCCAGAGAACTGATGTTTCTGCCACATTTAAGTAGGGGGGGGTTATTACTAACAATTATTTTGTTTAGTTTCTTGTAGATTAATTCATATTGTATATACTCATTGGGGATCGTTTTAATTTGTTGTTTTATTTCCCTCCCTACATACGACGATTTGTACATATGGGGACTATTTAGGATTTTCATTGAGACAATGAGGTATTGTGGTGGATGTAGTAAGAAAGGCTAGTAATAATGTATTAAGTGTTAAAAATATTATTTGTATGTTTGGGTCAGTGCTTGTGTCTAGCTAAGTTTAAAATTAAGACAGATGAAGAACGCCCTTTTCCCCATCCTCTTTTTAGGCCTTGTGCCACATTTTCTGTAATTTTATAGAAATAAATATTGTATTCCCCCCCCCCGATGATCCGACGATATTTCTTTATCTTTGTCTCTTTCTCTCTTTTTCTCGTCGTCGCTGTTTTTTTCTTTGCTTGAATTTTTCAACTGTAAGCTGCTTGTGCGGGTAACGTAATTGTCATCAGCGAGCCGGGTTCAAACTCTGGCTTCGTTCGCTGCGTTCTGTTTCGTATTAATACCCCTTGGAAAACGCATTAAAATATCCCTTCTTCCTCCATTTATGGTTTTCAATAGTTAAAGCTTTTTAGCTTTAGATTGGTGTCGTCTAAATTCTAAAGAAAAGGCAACGAGAATCGACTTTTTACTCCATGGCAATTCACAAATGATAAAGAAGAGGAAATCGTGGAGAGTCATATTCTTTAGATCTATGGTCATTAATTATTACTGCGAGATCGGACCTCTAGAAGAGCTGTGTAGTTTTGTAACAGATTAAACAAAATTAAGTAAAAATGTCTCTTTTTTAAAAAATTCGTTGATGGAACGTTTTTCACTTACATTATTTATATTATTGGGACTGTTAACCTCATCTTCTTTGCCATATTCACAACGTTTCAGACGTTGTACGCGCCGGCCTTATTCAGGTGATTGGAATTTCTAACCGAACCCTTTACTTCGTTCACCGGGATAGATGCTTCTAGTTCCACGTGTCATGCCTCTTCCGGATGTCTCAGTTATTTCCCTTTAATTCAACTATCCAAGTTTAGGTTCACCACTGTGGCCTGGTACTGAACTCATCACTCGTTGGGTCTAGTCACTGGATCTAACCAACGTCTTTATCCACTGGATCCTCAAGCACTCATCGCCCAGTGGATAAAGAAGGTGCTGTAAGCTTGGATGTGCAGATGATGTAATGGATAACGAGTCGGAATTAGAAATCAGAGAGCCGGGATTATTATATTAACTTACGCGCAAATACCCTTGGGAAAGCTGTGAATCCACCCATTATCCATCTATTCTCCCCCAGCTATGGGTTAATTACTAGTACTTTTATCAGTAAATCATTATTATTACCAAAAAAATTCATACACTCTAAAAATATTTTATGGCTTTAAATAACATGAAAAAAGGTTGATAACCCGTAAAAAGCAACGAATCGTAATCTTTCTCTTATTCATAACCTCTCTTTATAATAATTCTCTTTATTTCACTAAATTTCTCTCTTTCTCAAATTCTTATTCTCTCTTAATCAAATTTGACTTTTTCATTCTTCTCTTTTTCTTAAGCAGTTTCTCTTTTTCTCAGATTTTTATTCTTTCTTTTTCGCTCACTCAGTATTTTATCATATTCTCTTTTTTTCTTAAATTCATACTCTCTCTCTTTTTCATATTCATAGTCCCTATCTTTCTCACAGACAATCATTTTCTGATATCCATGTTCTCTCTCTTCCTCATATTCCTGGCCGCCCTCTCTCTCACATTCTTGGTCGCCCTCTCTCTCTCTCATATTCCTGGTCGCTCGCTCTCTCATATTCCAGGTCCCCCCCTCTCTCTCTCTCTCTCTCTCTTTCTCTCATATTCCATGTCGCTCTCTCTCTCTCTCTCTCATATTCTTTTTGTTCCTTCTCTCTCATATTCCTGGTCGCTCGCTCTCTCATATTCCAGGTCCTCCCCCTCTCTCTCTCTTTCTCTCATATTCCATGTCGCTCTCTCTCTCTCTCTCTCTCTCTCTCTCTCTCATTTTTTTTGTTCCCTCTCTCTCATATTCCTGGTCGTCCTCTCTTTCATATGTTTGGTTTCTCTCTCTCATATTCCTGCTCTCTCTCTCTCTCTCTCTCTCATATTCCTGGTTGCCATTCGTCTCACATTCCTGCTCCCTCCCTCTCTCTCTCTCTCTGTCTCATATTCTTTTTGCCCCCCACCTCTCTCTCATGTGTTTGGTTTCTCTCTCTCTCATATTCCTGGTTGCACTCTCTCAAATTCACGCTCTTTCTTATTCATCTGTGTCACTCAGTCTTTTTTATATACGCATTCTCTCACTTTCTCTCATCTATATTCTCACCCCTCTTTCTCAATATCATATACTCCCTCTCTCTCTATTTATACTGATTCATATTCTCTCACTCATCCATTCAGTATCTCTTTCCCACACTTCATTTCTCCCCCCGATATTCCCCTCTCATTCATTTTCATTTATTCACCCGCCACATTTCATTCTCAAATTTTTAATCTCTTTTCTCATTTCACTAGTCTTCATCTATTAATCTCTCTTTTCTTTTTACTTTCTCAAATCCATTTTCACTAATCTCTCCTTTCTCTATTATTAACAATCCTCTCTTCATCTTGTTAAATCTCTCTTTCTCTTGTTACTAATCTCTCTTTCTCTAGTTACTAATCTCTCTCTTTCTCTTGTTACTAATCTCTCTCTTTCTCTAGTTACTAATCTCTCTCTTTCTCTAGTTACTAATCTCTCTCTTTCTCTTGTTACTAATCTCACTCTTTCTCTTGTTACTAATCTCTCTCTTTCTCTTGTTACTAATCTCTCTCTTTCTCTAGTTACTAATCTCACTCTTTCTCTAGTTACTAATCTCTCTCTTTCTCTTGTTACTAATCTCACTCTTTCTCTCTTCTCTCTTTTCTTGTTAAATCTCTCTCTTTCTCTTGTTACTAATCTCTCTCTTTCTCTAGTTACTAATCTCTCTCTTTCTCTTGTTACTAATCTCTCTCTCTAATTAATAATCTCTCTATTTTTCACATTCATAATTTCTAACTTTTCTAATGACTAATTTCTCACTTTCTCATATTCATAATCTCTCTCTTTCTCTAATAATCTTTCTGTTAATCTTTTTACTAATCTCTCTCTTACTCTAATGAATAATTTATTTATTTCTCACATTCATAAACTCTCTCTCTCTCTTTCTTACTCACTCTCTCTTTCTCATATTCATAATCTTTTTTCTTCTTCTCTCGTTAATTCCCCCTTCTCTCATGTTCATTGTCTCTCTTTATAGACTTCTGTACCCCTTTATAAACATTAATCCATCTGCAAAATTCCCTTGTTCTCTTATTTCACTCCCCCTGCTTTCCCTTCGATCTACACATCTGTCTACTTATTACCATTCGGCATTTCTCTCCAATCCCTAACCCTACATCAGAGATAATGAACTAACAATAATGAATTGCTTATTTTACTCCTGCCCGGGGAGAAACGACAGCCTACGAAGAAAAAGAAATAATTCATGTAACAATCATTGGAAAAATGATTTTATTTCCACAAACTTCGTGTCTGTCGCCTGACTTATTATCAAGGGACACTGTATTGGTCGTCTGTTAGCTTTTATATATATTATTATATATATATATATATATATATATATATATATATATATATATATATATATATATAACATCAATCTTATCGGTAGGTATTTTACTATAATTAATACTGTTATTGTTTCTGCCTTAGAGTTTGGTTTGAATAATAATAATAATAATAATAATAATAATAATAATAATAATAATAATGGTATTGACATCTCCCAGACCTGATTACAGTGATAGGACCTGTAACAATGTTATGTGACTTTAAAATACATGCAGAGAGAACAATCAAAGCTAATCGACCAGACATCTTGACCACAAAAACAGAATGTGCTTTATTATTGACATGACTGTTCCTGCAGATTGTAATGTATTTTTGAAGAAAGCTATCAAAATACAAGGATCTTGAAGTGGAAATCTAAGCCATGGACACATAAGGATATCAATAAGTCCAGTTGTAGTCGGGGCTCTCGGATTAGTTGGAAAAGGTTCCGATAAACTCATTGAAGGAATTCCTGGCAGCCCATGCCTTAAAGTAATAAAGAAAATTGTACTCACAAGTACAGCTCACACATTACGAAGAGCTTTATCTATGTAAAATGTGTGTGACTGTAGTGTTTATTATCATTTATTTATTTATTTTATTTATTTAATTTTTTTTGTCATGAAGCTATTTCTGACCTTTGATCTCTGGTTGTGACCCTGGTGAAAATATGTATACAAGAGAAATCAAAGGAAATAATAATAATAATAATAATAATAATAATAATAATAATGCTATAACTAGTTCCTCACGGTTATAATATGTCACGCTCAGTCTATTCGTCGTGTCGTCATTAGAAATTCATCTCGACTGACTCCAACAGACTTTTTTTTGACTCACTTCGAGTTCATTATTTAAGGAGTTTTGTATAGTTCATTTGTGTTACCGGGGTATCTCATTTACTCCACTCCTCGCCACTTTTGATACATATTTTTTCACGAGTAAATATTTTATCTAATTTCTTTGTATTCACCCCTACTCTTTCTGGGGAGTTCGCCACATACGGAACTTTTTATTTCTTTCGTTTTGGGCCAACCTTTAGTTTTTCCGTATGTTTCCATTTTCAACGAAATCTTGGCGTGAAGGTAAGTCAAAAATACCATACAGTATTTGCATAGGGTTCTTCCTTTCTTGTGGGCTTTTCGTAAGTAAACCATTTCTTTAAATGATTCCAGTGCCTTTTAGCTTCCTATTTCACCAGATATATCATTTTTCCAATTCGCGGTCTTCTTCTGCCGTTTTCCCACATTTCTTTTCCAATTTTATATACTCTGAAAAAACTTTTCGCCAATTTTGGAGAATTTTGTGTCCTTGTTATCCGTTCTTTTTTTGCCTAATAACAGATTGTCGAACACCGTTTTAATTTTTCTTGCGAACATCAAATCTGCCGGTGACATGCCTGTCGGTGTATTGGGATTCGGCATTATCCAGTATACAGTCAAGAATTTTTGTAGTGATTCTTTTCTTTTTCGTTACTTGCTTTTTTCAAAAAACCTCTCTTAAAAATACCCACAAACCGATTTTTCCGTTTGACATTGGGTAATACAGCGCGGAAGTAATATGTTCAATCAAGAACATTTTACAAAATTCTTTAAATTCGTAAGCAATAAATTGTGTACCATTATCCAAGACTATAAATCCTCATCCCAAAAATTCAAACAGAATATATATATATATATTTTTCTCCCGAAACTAAAACCACTATACGAAGCTTAGAACAACTCATGATCAAACATAATAGGCATTCGTTGTCTGTTCTATTTAACAGTATATGTTTGAAAAAAAAAAATATATATGAAATGTATATATATATATATATATATATATATATATATATATATATATATATATATATATATATATATATGAAATAATATATATATATATATATATATATATATATATATATAAAATGACATTTCGTTGATGGAAGGTTGTTTTGACGTATTTAATTTTGTTTTGAATCTGTTCTTCTGAATTTTTTTCTATAAAGAACCTAGTAACATTAAGCAAGCACTCGACAATAATAGTTTTCGAAATTATATCTCAGATGAAGAAAGATAGTTTTATCTGAAGAATATTTGTATGATTTATAAAAGTGGCGAAAACAGTCGGAATAACATCATCATGAATTTATTTCAGAGGAAGGAAACGCACTCAAATTACTGCCAAGTCGAAATCACGATAAAAAAAAAATAATTCATAGACGTAAAATTCACCAATCATAACAAACATTTATTCACTTTATTATTTCCTAAAATGTTAAAAATTTTGAACTTAGGCGCGAAAAACAACGTATTAAAATCAAACCCTTTTTCTAAGACTTAATTTGTTTCCACATCCATTTACACTGTTGGAGATTGTATTTCTAAAAATAACAAAAGTCTACGCATACACACACATACACACACATACACACACACACACATATATATGTGTGTGTTTATTTATTTTTAAAATAATAATGTAGCGTTCATTAGTTTTTTTTAAGAAAAAAAGCGTTAAGATGTCATTTGATAAAAATCGTCTGAAGATACCATGTTACCGTTATATATATATATATATATATATATATATATATATATATATATATATATATATATATATATTAAAAATTAATGACAATAGAACTTAATCGGCTTAATCGAACTAAAGTGATGTTGTAATGAATTTCCTGAACGAATCGAGTTTTTTTGTCGCGTTCCTTCGAAGCGCTCACTTCAGTCCATGACAGATACTCGCGTCGAAAGTCCATCTCTCGCGATTCTATTCGGACTTGTTCGTATTCATTGCGATCAGGGACGGAGGTGATGCGTTCGAATACGTCACGCGCGCGCCCGTCGTTGTAGTTTCGGTCGAAGAAAGAATCGTAATGGTTCCGAGTGTCTATGTTCCGGCATCTAGGGCTTTCTGCCCACTAACCAAAAAAAAAAAAAAAAAAAAAATCTAACCAAAATTTCAAACGTTCTAAAAAGGATGAAAAAATATAATTTTATAATAGAAAATCCATTGCTTTTTTTTTTTTTTCTCTTAATAATAACATAAAGATTTTGAATATAGATATTTGTTTTTATTAAGTTTAGGGCATTTTTTCGTCACGGTATGCTAATTTTTCAGTGAATTAGTGGAGTTAGCTACATATAGTAATTATGCTTGTCCCTCTGAAAATTCATCAGAATTTCTATTCGTGAAAATTTCACGGTTTCTTATTTAAAATTTCTTATAAATCTTCGGTTAATCACTGAATAAGCTCAAGGCGAATTCTCCGACAATAAAATATCCGTAGAAATACTCCTATTGTTTCGTTAAATATACAACGACCAGCAGCGATCACCTGCAGCAACCGGCATCGATCACCTGCAGCAACCAGCATCGATCACCTGAAGCGACCAACGATCACCTGCGACGACCAGCAGCGATCATCTGTTACGACCAACCTATCCCGTATACTATCAGTTGTAATTATTACGGGAGGTCTCGACACCAACCTCGACCAGCAATGCCTGCACTGCAACGCCCAACCGTCGACACGACCTGAACGAACGCACCTCAGCATCCCGTCGTCGACCTCAACGTCCAACCGTCGACACGACCGGAACGAACGCATCTCAGCATACCGTCGTCGACCTCAACGTCCGACCGTCGACACGACCGGAACGAACGCACCTCAGCATCCCGTCGTCGACCTCAACGTCCAACCGTCGACACGACCGGAACGAACGCACCTCAGCATCCCGTCGTCGACCTCAACGTCCGACCGTCGACACGACCGGAACGTCCGCAATCACTTTCCAACCGTCGACACGACCGGAACGTCCGCAATCACTTTCCAACCGTCGACACGACCGGAACGTCTACACATCTACTCCAGCCATCGACACGACCAGTCCATCCTTCGACACGACCAGTCCGATCACCATTACCTTGATTACCAGACCAATATACCCCACGGTCTCTTCTTTATAAAATAAACTCAGCATTAATCATACATATCCTCGTTCTGTTGTCCATTTTGTTTCACCTTGTCAGATTCCACGTCATGAATCGAAAAACGTTAGCGGGCCTCTTGTGACCTCATCACCTACGATACGGTGGCGCTCGGGCCGTGGTTTCATATCGCGCCCTCCCTCCAGGGTGTCCGCTACAAATATTTTAGGTTAATAACTTTACCAAAATATTGCAATAACAAATATATATATGAATACTGGTCGTTATTTTTAAGTGCCATAAAGCACTTCTATATTCCCTTCTTTCATTTATTTTCTCATTGAAACCAGGTAGTCATTTTTTTCTTATCAAGCGATCAAAATGGAATATTCCATTATTGAGGTATTAGATTTATGATGTATTAGAAGAAGACGTCGAAGACTTCTACATTTCTTCCTTTTTTTTTTACACTGGAACCACGTAGCATCTCTAAGTCTTTTGTCTTTCCCCGCAGTAAAAAATGGAATATTCCATTATTTATGAGGTATTGATAGGACAAAACCATCGTGCAAACTAACGAAGAGAGGAATAAGCAGTTATTATATGTAGCAACCTCCACTGATTCGCTGAAAAATTAATATAACATGATGAAAAAATGTCGCAAACTTAATAAAAACAAATATTTTTATGAAAATCTCTATGCCATTATTAAGAGGAAAAAACAAAGGATTTTTTATTATTAAATTATTTTTTTTTCATTCTTTTTAGAACGTTTGAAATTTTGGTTAGATTGTTTTTGTTTTTTTTTTTTTGTCAGCGGGCAGACAAATTTAAGTATAAGGAATTTGGACGTCTTTTTGTGGTGAAAAACATTGATTTGGATATTCTTGCAAAAATCAAATAATTGTTGGATTTTAATGAAACTTTCATGTTTTATTTACAAAGAATAAAATTATTTCCGAAGCGTTTCTTTTCTTTTTATTTTACATCAATTAATTCTCACTTATTTAATGTTATGAAATATCGAGAAATTAAATTTATTAGCGCTTAACTTCTTGGAGAAATGAAATCATTTTTTTTCTAAAACAGGCGCCCATTTACCGAATATCTGCTCTTAATCATAAAATAAAAAATGAAAAAAAAAAGAAAAGAAATAATAAGACATTATTTAATTAAAAAAGCTTTTAATTGCTTTTATAGATGAGATATATCATGGACATTATTGTCTTAAGAAAAAATGTTCGATGAAATAATGAATTTTTACAAGAATTGTTTTCTTTTTTTTTGTTTTAATTAGAATAATTTGTAAAGTTTTAAATCTTTTCAAATTCCGTATTAATTTATAGCGGTTAGCTGATATTGTTATTAAGTAAAAACTATAATAATCATAAATGGAAAAGCTTACTAATATACAGCGGCCCTCAATATTTTAAAAACAATTAAACACAAAATTTGTGTTTGTATAAACGTGATAATTTTTGTAAATACGGGCGTCCATGCACATCATTATCAGAAAATAAGAGAGATAACTATATTAAATTTAAAGACAAGGTGCCTGAATAAAACATTAAATAACGGAGAATATTTACCAAAAATTTTAATATAACCGGGTAGTTAAAAATTATATAAAAAATGCACTAACGTTATATTCCTCAAGTTTTTTTTACAGATATATACAACGTAAAAAAATAATTAGATAAACTTCTGTTTGTCAGTCAAACTGTCAATACCATATATAGACAGGTACCGATACGTTAAAAAATGCATTTTTCCGATATTTTAAACTTAAAGTAAGTTATATTTATTTCAAATCAGATTAATTAAGCTTTAGACTAGGTAATATTCTTCAAATAAAATTTCAGAAAAGTATATTTTATTTTTGAAAGATTTTCTAATAAAGAGCATTACATCGTGAAAACAGATAGATAAAAATGCTGCTAAAATCAGTTACTTTAGCAAATTCAAAACTCCTTCCAGTGAATTTAAATTAGTTTTAACATAAAGCAAAAGTATTTTGATTATTGGAAACATTAAATTTAATCTAATAGGTTGAAATTAAAACTAAAATAAATGCTTAAAGAAAGATTTCTCCTTTTCAAAAATTCATTCTAAAACTTACTTATTAGTTTTATATGGAGGTACGATACTGGTTAAACATAATGACTTTCCGAACATTTTAATATTTAAATTTAATTTAACTTTGTTTTTATAGCCTTTCTTCTGTAAGGCAATTACTTTGCGAACACTTTCATATATACAGAACTTTCGATTTCGACATATGGGTACCAAAAATTTCAGCGTAAAACTGAAACTCAAGTCTACCTAACCGGCTAATGTTAGTATAATAGTGAATACTTGTGAAGAATTAGCTGTACATTTCAAAAGAACAGGTAACAAATAAGGAGTGCACAGTAAGCGAGAAAGTATCCAAAGAGGCCCCGCTCGGGTTTGATTTCAGGCTTCATTCCTTCTCGTAGACTGGCTGACAGACAAGGCAAGGGAGCCCAGTTTCCGCAGTGATATAACTCATAGATCAACAAAGAAGTAGTTGTGCCTTTTCCAAGTGTATTAGTGTGAAGGGAATGAAACAGAATCGATCGGAATTCGAACTCGGCTCGGCGATTTCACGTTTAGCGCCAATAACCGTTACCGTAGTTTGCATATCAAGTTGGTTTGGTTTGTTTTACGGCATATCCAGCTCAATGGGTTATATAATGCTAACAAGATTTTTAGAATAGGTTCATATAAATAAAATATGTATTCTTTAGTTTAGTTTGTTTTACAGCATATCCAGCTCAATGGGTTATATAATGCTAACAAGATTTTTATTGCTGGTAATATTATTATTATTATTATTATTATTTTCGAAATGTATTGCTGGTAATATTTTTTTGAAAAACGTATTGCTTACCTTTTTTTTTTTCAAAAATGTATTATTGCTGGTAATAAAATATATTTTGACGTTTTGACCCCAGTTTCGGGGTGAACTATTTGCCTATATCTAGGACCCGAACAGATGCTACCACCCTGGTCTGGGTAGAACTGGGAACAGTAGCAATTCAAAATTTTGCTCCTCAAAAACTCCTGATCAGAGACCTTGCTGTCGAATGTGGTTTATCGTCTTATCCAGGACGCGGAAGTAGTTTATCGTCATTCCCAGGACGGCTGCATATCTTGTTATATATGTAAACATCAAGAAACTTTAGATAAATACATGATATCGCAGACATTAATAAAAACAAGTACAACTAAACTTTCATTTACACTGACAAGAAATTCTGGCGATAAGCGGGTAGTCGCGATAGAAAGCTGTTAATGGGTTAAAATTGGCGTCTACTGCATTTAAATCCGGTACAAAAAGCCTAAATACTGGATGTATAGATAGTAATACGGTTCTCAGAATAGAAAATGCTCTCGGTAGGCTAAGTTCAAATTCCACACTAGACTTTTATTTTGAGTTTCGAAAAACAAACATCTGTCATTTTTTGGTTGGTCCTTCACAAGCATTCACCACAATAATTAACCTGTCTTAGAGATGGTAAATTCTGAATTCCAAACCTCGGAGGAAGCAACAAGGAATTAATTACTCTACTAGCTTTACAAGGAACGCATGGCAATTCACAGATAATCAAAAGAGAAAATTTTCTGGGGAGTCATATTTGCATACGTCCTGAAGAGACGTGGCATTTTAATTAAGAAACGTTTTCGATTTCTCACTAAATGTAACACTACAACAAACCTACTTCATGAACTCAATATTTTTAGTGCCATGGAAAATTATTTGTTTTTCAGTATGGGAAAATAAAATTAGGAATAAGTACTTTGGCAGAGGTTAGGAATTAATTCTTGTGCTACTGACAAATTAGATCTATTTTAGCTAGCTAGCTAGCTATAATAGATCTAATTTCTAACTAGATAGATAGATAGATAGATAGATAGATAGATAGATAGATGAACAATCTTTTATTACTTTATTTCTTTGTTTTTTTTTTTTTGCTTTTTTTTTAACTTTCTTTATTATGAACAATATCAATGAAATGTATTTTCGAGGTACGGAATTAAAACAATCAATTTTGGATCCAGCAGAAGCCAAGAATGAAAACGACGCACTACAAAAGATTTTTGCTGTTTTGAAATAGATATACTTGAATGTAGATAGATACATAGATATAAGCAAATTGAGATAGATATGAACAAATAGAGAGATAGTGAACAGACTGTAGTAGATAGATATATAGATAGATATTAACAGATTCAGATAGAGAGATAGATATGAACAGATTCAGATAGATAGATAGACAGATAGATAGATAGCAGTGGCAGCTAAAGGTCTTCTGTTTGTCAGGCTTATGAAATCTTTAACAAAATATACTATTAGTACAACTTAGATGCTGAAATGGTTCCTTTATTTTAATTAAAATATATAATTTTAAAAAATCTCTAGCCAGATATTTTTGTAGAAAAATATCGTGTGCATCAATCTCGTGGGTGTGTTTGTATACATGTGTGTATGCGTTAGTGTGTTTATGTATCTCTCTGTCCGTGAATTTTACGTTTATGATCAGTATTGCTGACTGATATCATATTTCTTCAACATTACCCCAGTCACACTCCAGTCGTCGAGTTAAGCTTTTCTTTTATTTTCACAGACTTAATTTTAGTCCCAGCTGAAGTCAAGAATGAAAACGATTCACCACGAATGATTTTATTTCATTGAATTTTTTTTTTTAAGCGTTTCACCCCAAGCAAGGCGAGAAGCCATTAGGATGCACGGGGTTACAGAAAATTTGGAGCAAGATCAGATAGGAGTGATAGAAGAAAGGATGCGGAGAAGGGTAGTGGATAGATCAAGGCAACTGGAGATGTCGATTGACATTACATTTGAATAGCTGGAGATTATAGCTCTCAGGGAAAAATGGAATAGGGAAGGGACTTCCACAGGCGAAAAGTGCGAGACATATACCTGAATTTAGATAGATAGATAAATAGATATGAACAGATTCAGATAGATAGATAGATATTATCTGCCAAATGTTTTATTACTTTTTCCAAGTAGGTAGTCGGACATTCGTATCAGAATCTCGGACAAACTGTCCAAAATTTAAGTTATTCTCTGTTCAACTATATTCGACCGTTTCAATCATTCTAAAGACTGTCCATCAGACAGACAAGATTTTATTGACTATATCTTCCCATTTTTGGAAAAGTGCAATTCATATTAAAAGAAATATACTTGTATTGTAAAAGACGTCCTGTTCATAACGGTTTCCCAGATCTTGACTACCCAGGAAAAGAAGATATCAAATATTTATACATACTCTTATTATTTTATATAATATTGCTTCCTTTCTTTTATTGATTATTTATTTCTCTTTTCAACCAAACTGTGATCGAAATGCGGAGGTTGTTATCACTTTCATGGCAGAAAATGGCTTCATTTAATTATCTTAGTAATTTTATTATAAAAATAATCAAAAAAACTTATTTTAAATGACGTGTCTCTTCAGGATGTAGACGTTCATAGCTCTCCACAGATTCCGTTCCTCTGTGAAATACCATGTCGTCTTGAGACAGATAGCAGAATGGTTTTCCGTTGCCTTCTCCATGGGCCTGGATTAAACAAATTCAGAGCAGACCTTCTCCTGGACGGGCTGCACCGATAAGCATTGCACTAACGGCAGAACAAAATAGATTACTTATAAAGTAGAAAAACACACTCACTTTCACACAGGGACAGATATGAGTCCATCTAATCTTTTCCCAGCGTTAAATAGTAGAGGAGACTGGACTATCTAGCCTTACTTGGGAGACAACTTTGAAAATTCGAAATCCAGCCACCTGAAACTGTGTAAAAATAAGGAAAAGGTTTACAGATGCTATAGCACAGAAAACAGAAAAGAAAATGAAAGATTTAAAATCTTTTAATGATCGCACCCGAGGGCGATTATCTAGAATCCTGTTGACAACAACGGGCATTGTTGCCTTGGAAAGATGGCTTATATTGGATTGGGGACAAAAAACAAAAAAGAAAGAAAAAGGAGGAAAAAAAAGAAAGAAAAAGAAAGAAAAAAAAACAGAGAATTATTGAAAAAACAAAACAATTTTATTAATGAAAAATATGCGCCCGGCATCAAATCTTTAATAAAAAATTCTCGAATATTCACGCAGCCAGAAGAAAATAAATGTAATCCTTAAAATAAACGGAGCGTCGACTCATATACAGGTACCTAGCAAAAAAGAAAATAACGTTTAAAGTGATAAAAATCTGTTGTATTAATAAGAATACTTCATTTATATATATATATATATATATATATATATATATATATATATATATTATATTAAAAATTATACGATAAATATGTTATAAAATCACTACAAAAATAGCCATTTTGTTTCAACACTTCCGATGTCTTAGAGAGTAAGAGCGAGAGAGAGAGAGAGAGAGATTTTTCTAGTTGGATCCATTATATTCACATATGAGTAAATAGCAGGACAGATTAGCCTTGGGTGCCAACCGGCCTAGGAGAAGGAAAAACTTTGAATTCAAACCGGACAGGAAGGATTTGACTTCAGTCAGTCTATCTTGCCCAAGAAACACCACTTCTACTGCGCCTGCAGTTCACATTGTGCCTTTACAACCCAACGGGTCACGAGATAATATATATATATATATATATATATATATATATATATATATATATATATATATATATATATGAGCTCTCGGAGAGGAAGGGGTGATTTTATAAACAGTAGTGGCTAATGCAATGCTCTTGACTAGAATCGAGCTCTCCTAGCCACTAACGTCTTTCGTATAGTAAAAATGTTAAAATTTCCCTTACTCTCTCCGTGCGACGATAGCTTTGGGGTGGAATCTCTGACTGATGCCAAATCGGTCTTGTTTCGATTCCAGCTTGATGCAATCGGATGTCTAGCCACACTGATGAGCTGTGATGCAGTTGATGACTATATATATGTATAAAGATATGTTCCATTAAATAATTTAGGCAAGTTTTGTCTACATATTTTTAATATGATCCTCTCATATTCACGGAGAAGCTTCTTAATATTATTATTAAAGGAAGAAAGAAAATTACCATATTGATTATTTATTCCGAGTGCTTTCGACGTTAGCAAAATGTCTTCTTCAGTGACTTTTTTTTATCTAAGACAAATTTGTTGCGTTTATCTGAAAATTAAATTTTTCATTTGCGAAGTGAAACTTATGCAGTGTACTTTTTTAAAATTTATGATGTATGCACACTCGTACAGCAACGTCAAGGGAAGTAACTAAAACTTGTCTAAATTATTTAATGAGACACGTCTTAATAAAATCATACCGCCAATATATATGTGTGTATGTGTGTGTGTGTGTGTGTGTGTGTGTGTGTGTGTGTGTGTGTGTGTGTGTGTGTGTGTGTGTGTGTGTGTTTAGGCAGCAATCCTTCTTTCATGCACATTTCATTGAATACGACAGACAATGTGCTTTTATTTATTTTTTTGTACAATTTCTCATGCGATCTAATAATTTTTTTCTTTTCGGATGATAAATTATATAAAAACTGTCCGAATGTTCTTTTTATCCCAGCGCTTTCGGCTATACATTTACAAAAAATTTAAAACCTCCAACCTTATAGTTAAAAATAATAATTAATCTCTTAGAACAAAATTAAATAGGGTAAATATTATTTACGGATTTAAATGCCCATTAATGAATTGTATTCCTGATCAATCAAAATTCGTAAGTAATTATATAGGCCACTCTACAACATGTTTGACACGCAGACTCACGCTACACCTTTATGACCATAGCTCAATTAGATCTAATTTAAATATTCATGGAGACCTATTCGTAACAGACTTGTTGACAACACTGATATAGTAGCATCATCTAAATGCAAAAAAGGCTAAAAATAATGGAAGCCTTATTAATAAAATCCAAAAAAAAAACACTTTCAAAATGGACACAACATCTTGACAGTGTTTTGAAAAATGAAAACATTTTATAAAACATACATACAACAAACTATTTCTTATTTAACAGTTAAAATATAATCCTTGAAAATGGTTAAATGTATTGCCGAAAGCGCTCGGATAAAAAAGAACATTCGGACAGTTTTTATATAATTTATCACCCGAAAAGAAAACATTATTAGATCGCATGAGAAATTGTATAAAAACTAAATAAAAGCACCTTGTCTGTATTATTCAATTCATATATATATATATATATATATATATATATATATATATATATATATATATATATATATATATACTGGGTGGGTGTAACAGCAAAATTGTTCAAATCGTGTAAATGCGTGGGAATAATTGTCCATCCCATAAAATGTTTTATATCTAAAACCCACTAAACTGAGTCTCTTTTTTCCTGGTTTTCAAATGAGACCTTTAGCCATAATGACACAATTTGTCGTAAGAATAATTGAAAAAATGTTATTCAGCTCGAAAGAGAAGTGGTTAAAATCATTTTTTTGTCAGCCCCACTGTTTCTTCCCAACTGAGTAATGCTGAGCGGAAAAAGATCATTCAAGCTTTCAGTAATGGTATCAACATTCATAATCTGGCTTTCATCTTCAAAGTCCATTCAAGAACTATCAAGAGTTTAAAAAAGAGGCAACAGTAGAGAAAAAAAAACTAGATCAGGAGGTCACATCAGGACAAAGTATGATCATTTCAACTTAGAACTAACATTATTATTTTTCAAAGTAGAGTCCAATAGTGTTATAATAATCTTGGAGAATTCCAGTCAGATATCTTTAATCATTTCAAAGATACAACGGTTCAAATGTTAATCTAACAATTGGTTGAATTTTACTGTTACACGATTAGGACAATTTTGCTGTTACACCCAGTATATATATATATATATATATATATATATATATATATATATATATATACAGGTAAGAGGAGAACGAACAGAGTACAATTCCAACGTTCGTAACATTTCATCACATTCAATAAAATTTGATTATGCGTTTTCTTATATTTTAGTTGTACTGTGTTGCACCATACAGCGCTTATCTTTTTGTAAGACTAATTAGGATTTAATATAATTTTGTATTAATCCCCTCGTAGTATTATTAACATCTTGTACGGATGTATTGGTATTTGGTTGGTATTTTTGACTTTTTACATTTACTGGTTATTGCTATTAACTTATATGAAAAAACTTTATTCAACAGTTGCATTTAATTTACCAAATAATTCTATACGTTTAAATTATTTACTAGTTTCTTAAAGAAGCTATTAATTATTCAACTATTAAAAATTTTTATGTAGGAAATTCACAAAGCATATTAATTGTTTAACATTTTGTTAAATCACCCCTCCACCCAACTTTTATTTTTTAGGTATCGATATTGTCTAGTTTGTATTTACATCCGCTCTCTTCTGGCTGCCATTAAATGCTAACCTACCGGTCACGACCCATTCACTTAGTTTAAGTTTAACGTAGGTCATATTTGATTGGTCGATCAGAGTAAAGCCCACAAACCTTATAGCCACCCTTCGTCTTTTTCTTTTTTTCACAAAAAGAGGTTGCATTTTCCCTTTAAATCTAATTAAAAGATTCACTCGCCAGTAATTTACAATAGCCTGATGAGATGCATTGATACGCATCGAATCACCACTGCAGTTGTGTATAAATCTTGACATGTTTTCGATGTAATATCCTAAAATAAATATTATTGCTCTACTTTGTATTGAGTCTTCTTTTAAATTAAATTTTACGAACGTCTTACCTGGAGATATAAAGTGATTTTCTAAGCGTGGCTTAGATGTGGCACAAGGCCATAAGTATGGGGCACCCAGTGAGGATCGAACTCACTACTCAATCGTACTCAAGCTTTACTAACCATTACACCACTCCACTTCGAGATGCCCACTACTATATATATATATATATATATATATATATATATATATATATATATATATATATATATATATATATATATATATAGAGAGAGAGAGAGAGAGAGAGAGAGACGGGCAACAGAGAGTAGGATATTTTGTATCGCAAAAAACGACTACATTTGCGACTCTTCGACAAGAAATTGAACATGCATTTGCAACGAACCTACTTGCCAATTTGGGAACCTTTCCCAAGCAGAAGTTCGCCGTACTTATAAATGTCTGCAAGCTATTAATCAATGAATTTTATTAAAATTAATTAATTGATTTTATTTTTAATCCGACATTATTTTGTTTTAACTTTAAACGTCATGTTTTAGTGGATGTATTTTTTTTAATTTAAATAGTGTGAATTGCATCTACCGGCCTGTTTAGTCGAGAGTCTTAATACCTGTATCTGAGGGCATATTTTCTTTTTAAGACTAACGAATGCACACCCTGCTAGATGTAAATCAAAGAGTAAAAAGAAAACCGGGGCGTTTACTCAAATACGTATATTCACAGAAATATAGCATTAAATTAACAAGTAATATGTATATCTACAAGTGTTTAGTGCAAAAAGATAAAAAAGAAAATACCACTATGCAATGTATATCGATATTCCAATATATATACATATATAGATATAGATATATGTTTATGAAGTTGATTCGTTTTCTACGGCTTATGAACACGTTATTTAAAGCCAGAAAATATTTTAGCATTGTAAGAATTTCTTTTTGTAGATAATAAGGATTTTGTGATACAAGTCTTACTAATTAATCCATAACTGGTTGAAGATGTGCTGGATTAATAACTCTTCCTAAGTGGTACTTGCTCGAAAGTGAATGCAATGAACCTAAATGGAACATTGGCTCCCCGATTAACAATTCCGAGTCATTATCTTTTACGTCTATGCATTCAAGCTTACAGCACCTGGTATTCCCAAGTAGTCACCATTCTACGTACAGACCTGACTCGACGTTGCTTAACTTCGGTGGTCGTATGGCGTTTTAATATGATGTGGACGTAAGGTACTTGCATTAAACATAACGCACAATTTACATACATACACATACACACACACACACCTATATATATATATATATATATATATATATATATATAGAGAGAGAGAGAGAGAGAGAGAGACAGACAGACAGACAGACAGACAGACAGAGAGAAAACAGAGAGAAACAGACAGAGATATAGATTGAAATTGGTGTCTTCACACCCACACATACGCATTGTTACTTTGTAGACATCAATTGATATATTTCTATTGATCTTTAAGAATCAGAGCTACCCTCTCATTTCTGTTGCTGCTGCTATTACTCCAACCATTTCGAAGATCAATGAATTTTTTTTTTCCCGCCTCTTCTGCTGCTGCTGCTGTCTCTGTTTTGGGGAAAACCTCGGCGAATTCTGTAGTTTTCCACTCGGCAATGCTCCCTACGTGCACGCGCAGTACACGATCTTACTGTGGCGAGCTGGCATACGCGCAGGCGCACGCCCCCGCAGTCACACGCATGCGCACCTCGATGCAAGCTCGTGGAACTGCGATCTCCCTATCCCCTTTTTTTCCCTGTTTTATTTGAGGCTCGCTTGCTCCTTTCAATTCCCTGCTACACGAACACACGTACAAAACCAGGCAGGCGTGGACATTTGCAAAACACAGTGGAGCTAATATGTGCTTGCATATCCCACATTCTCATATAACGGAGTGTGCAGATTACGTCTACATCACACACAAAGAATGAAATCCTAAATCTTAAACACGCACACTAACAGAAAAGATACACAAATTGGAATGTTGCCATGACTACAAGATTTAGATGATAGCAGCAAGAAAAATTATTACAGACCTTATCCGTATATATTATTATAAAGGATAATATAAGTAGACAAGGAATTAGCAACAGGATTATCTCAACTATATTAATAAAAGCTAATCCTCAAAAACGTATTATTAGCTATATAAAACAAAAATGAATGATAATGCTAATAAAAATAGAAAAAAAAAATTCATTAATAACTTTATTTCCTGCGTTGACAAGGTGAGCAAATAGATAACTTTGAAATGACACTGAAAAATCTATGGTCACTGGTCAGAGAATAACTGTTATATGTGGGCGTTTGATTTTAGTTTTCATTGCTGGATCATTTGGGAGTTCCACTTGAAATGTATCTATATCCAATGTTTACCCATTAGGCAAATCGTCGCCTTTTGCTATATGAATTTGTCTTTAGCAATATCCCAAGGTGTTAAACATTCTGTTAGGGGACTGGGTAGGCTTAATAGCAACATACGTGAAAAGTCCCTTCAATGCAATAATCTAGATAGGTACACTTTAGAAAACACTTGCAAAAAAATACAAACTCGTGCCTCATGGCGCAGTTATTTTCTCCACTCCTTCTATCTATCTATCTATCTATCTATCTATCTATCTATCTATCTATGTGTGCGTGTTTGTGTGTGTGTGTGTGTGTGTGTGTGTGTGTGTGTGTGTGTGTACTGAATTCACCCAAAACACTCTAACCAAGGCGTTAATGCCACTAAGATGCAAGGTGCTACTTGGAGTGAAAGAGAAGGAAAATACATTAGAAGGAATCGGAAACCCAATCCTAAACAGGAAACACGAAATAAACCCCTAAGAACGTAGGGGAGGGAGGGTTAACCGCACAATAGGAGATTCTATTTACGCCAATTATTTCGACATATATATATATATATATATATATATATATATATAATTCAATGAATTACTAATTACTTGTTGTCTGATATACACTGTAGTAACATTTAAATTTTTTAAAATAGTGTTCTCTCTTTTTTTTTTGTTTTTTTTTTTTGGTTTTGGAGTTGTTTTTTTGTCTATGAAATTAGAACTGAATCCTCCCCTCTTTTTTGACCGCTCCCCCTCGGCCATTTTTAATTGATAGGTGGCAATTAACAACGAGGGAGCAAAACAGCTTTTATACTTACATACATGACAATTTTAGTAAACATTTCGCGCGAACCTTGACGCCAATTTCTGGGCACATGAGAAAATAAGAAGATACAGAGAACGGAATTAACATTGTGCTCGGTTTTCTAAATTAGCAAACATTACCTGCTTTAAAAATATTTTGACACATCCATATATATATATATATATATATATATATATATATATATATATATATATATATATATATATATTATTTAACAATTTAAGACATTTTATATTTATACATTCTTTTTTATAGACACAAATATTTCAGTAAATGCTCTGTTTATAATAAACATTATTAAACAACATTTACCGGCCTTAATTTCTGAGAAATTTTCATAGAAAATATTCGTCCTCCGACAGGAATCGAACCTGTATCCTATACGGAACCGTCATATAGCCTGACGTTCCTTAACCGAACGCTAATCTGTGGCCGGTTAAGGCACGTCAGGCTATATGACGGCCCCGTATAGGATACAGGTTCGATTCCTGTCGGAGGACGAATATTTTCTATGAAAATTTGTCGGACATTCAGGCCAGTAAATGTTGTTTAATACTGTTTATTATAAACTTATAATTTACTTAAATATTTGTATCTATAACAAGAATGTATAAATATATAAACGTCTTAAAATATATATATATATGTGGATGTGTGTTAATGATTTTTTTACAAAACCAACAATATTTCTTCTTACTATACAAGTCATTTTAATGGCTACACACATTTGTGTGATACCCCTGTTTTCTATTTTCTGAAACTGGGAAATTAACATCAACCGGCCTAGATCGAAAACATACTAAACAAAAGTGTGTCTTTTGACAGGAAACGAAACTGCGTTTCTTTTTATCCCTCATTTCGCAGAAACCTTGTTTCCTCGTGCGCAGATGCCCTACAATAATTGGTAATGATAAGCTTCGCCTACAGGAGTATTTCTCCCGAATGGAAAAAGGAAATACAGTTTCGATTTCTGTCAAAAGGCCCAATTTTTCTTTAGTAGAATGTCTCGTTATGGCCACTTGATATTAATTTGATTGTTTGGTCAAAAGTTTGGGGATACGCCGGGTAATTTTTTAAATTGACCCCGAAAGTAGTTGTTTTGGGTTTTCAATAAGACAAAAATATTATACAGGCTTAAAAATATGAGATGAGTTCTTATTAGAAATTTTATCATATATATGTATATATATATATATATATGAAGAAATATAGTCTTAAGGTGTGCTATATTTATGGGATAAAGTGCTCAATATCAGAGATAGAGCGTGTAAATATAAAAGTGAACATAGAAGTCAACACTTAGAGGCGACAGTCTGTTTCATGTTAGATGCAATCGTCAGGCCTGATGATTGCATCTAACATGAAACAGACTGTCGCCTCTAAGTGTTGACTTCTATGTTCGCTTATATATATATATGTGTGTGTGTGTGTGTGTGTGTCTGTATGTGTGTGTTTTGAACAGTAAAAATACTAAAAAAATAAAATTTTCAGGCGCACTAGGTTGTATATTAATATTTATTTTGTTTTTTTTATTTAATTTAGGTTTCCCAAATAATTTTTCGGCCAGTATGGACATCATGACGAGAAAAAAAAAACTCGTTTTTAGTAGCAGTGAAGTACAAGAGTGAATGACTGTTTCTAAAGAAAGTGAACTTTATCTGTAGTTTTCATTTGTTTTTATCGTTAATTTTGGTCAGACCTTGTGTTGTTCAAACGGCCTCTTTCAAGTTGTTTTTAACATAGAGGATGGCAGATCACCGATATATATATATATATATATATATATATATTGCTTTGACTCAATCACCAGCCTCTGGAGCTATTTGCTACTAATCAATCAGTACTCAGACACAAGCATATATTTGAACAGTGTGTGTGTTCGTCTGATGTAGAATCCGAAGAAAATGTGGACAAATGAAACAAAATGGGAAACCATCTTACTGAGAACGCTTTTCACCTTTGTTATGTAGTTAGGAAGGCGTCTTTAGGTCAGAATCTGTTTTTTTTTATTTATTGACGGTTTTAATATATATATATATATATATATATATATATATATATATATATATATATATATATTAACTGATTTAAAAATGGTTTCTTCGCTACATTTTACCATGTTTCAAAAACCGAAGCTAAAACTTCAAATTTAATTATATAATTAAATAATTTAATTATATAATTAAAGTTGAAGATTTTAGCTTCCGTTTTTGAAACACGGTAATTCCTGTGTAAAGAAAAACCATTTTTTAAATCAGTTAATTTATAATATTTATGCTCTGTAAATTTACATTGAGCACTGTTTTGTAAAATAAAAATATCAATAAGAACACCGGATTATATATCTTACTGTTCTTTCTTTCTTTATATATATATATATATATATATATATATATATATATATATATATATATATATATATATATTTACACATTTGCTTTTTTTTTTCTGACTTGAAGAGGCCTAGCTAACCTCCTGAATGCGAAATACATTGTCAATAAAAAAACATTTTTCACTTTATTTCACATTTAACGTGTATAAAATCTAGAGACACAAATGTAAATAACTGATACAAATAGTCAGAGATATCAGAACATAAACACTGACCCATTCAGGCACCATTAACAAAGCATGCTTCACTAATTCTCTCTCTCTCTATCTCTCGCACACATACACATGGATGTTTTTTTTTTCATGAATTAGGCGATCATGGCTCTTTACAGCTTCTTTTCTTACTTTTTTTAAGCAAGACTTGCACTTGACGAACCCTATTTCTCATTATTTACTTGTTCCACCATCCATTTCCCCAAATGTGGGAAGTTTTCAATGGATTGTCATGATTATTCTTCGTAAGTTCTCTGAGTGGTTTCCCCTTGTTTTCTCCACAGTGATGTTTCGAGACACAGTCTCTCAGCTGACAGTTGATTCTTGGAGTTCATCCTCCTCTTCTCACGGACTAAATTGGGGTGAGGAGACGATTTAGTCTCTGACAATTGGACAAAGAAAAGAAATTAATAAAGACTGAGCCAGCATAAATATACACACTGGCCTAGCGAACGACTAATATATATATATATGTGTGTACTTGTGTGTGTGTTTTTTGTGCGTGTTTGTGTCTTAAACAAAATGCCGAAGAGAATGATATCAGTTATGCCATGGATTCATTGGTTGGTTAAGTGTTTTTAATTTGGTCTCGCAACAACAATGCAAATTGTCCTTTAGAAAATATATTTTCGTGTGTGTATGTATCTATGTATTCTCTTAATCTCTCTCAATCAGTAACTCTATCTATCTATCTATCTATCTATCTATCTATCTATCTATCTATCTATCTAATTATCTCAGTTTGTTCATAAAAAAAATCTGTTCATTTCTATTTATCTATCATATTCTATCCATATCTATCTCATATTTGTTCATATATCAATCTGTTCATACCTATCTATGTCTGTTCATTCCAATGTATCTACTTCATTCTGTTTCTATCTATCTATCTATCTATCTATCTATCTATCTATCTATCTATCTCAGTCTCTTTATACTTAAATCCATTCATTCTAATCTATCTATCTATGTATCTATCTCTGTTCAAATCAATCTATCTTCGTGTTCGTTTGATCATTTGCATCTATCTATTTTTGTCTGATGATTTTTCTATCTATCTATCTAGCTATCTATCTATCTATCTATCTATATGTCTGTCTATCTATCTCTCTATCTATGTGTAGTTCTCAATCTTCAGCTGACAGAGGTTTATATGTGGAGGAAATCAGTGCGAAACAAACTCACTACAGCAGTAATCATATACTAACCAAATGCGATGAACTTCCTCCTAGGCTAAAATGTCTGTATTTAAGTTTGCAGTTGTGCCCAGCTGAGCAGAGTCCCACGTCTAGACATAATTTTCCCGCTCTCTAA